GTTGCCTGTTTGGTGTGTGCTGTGGACAGAGAAGATGCCTGGTTGCGCCGGAAGGTAGCGCCGGGCTTAGGGACAGGTGTCTCGTCAAACCCTTAACCAACCAACCAACACCTGGAGCGTTTCATGCATCAGCGCCTTTTGAGGCTCGGCAGGTGCCCTCCTGCTATCGGCACTCCAGATCTCTCGGTTTGTTGACTCGCCCACTTTCAGAGAGCCGCCGGCCTTTCTGGTGCTGCTGCGCCTCTCGGGCTTTGCCTCTCAGCTCATCAGGACACACGAGCTGCGTGCTGCCTTTCAGTTGCCCGCTCACCATCAATCACATCAGTCATGCCGCGCCAAGTTGACATCCGTCGCTTCCTGCTGCCTGCCGCGGCAACGCACAAGGGAGATCAAGAGCCTCAAGAGCGGCGCCATGATGATCAGCCGACAGGTGAGATTGGCGGCAGTCATGACACAGATGTCGTGTGAAATGCGACGATGCATTTGTTGTTGTGTCAATGTATGTGTGCCAGATTTTGGCAGCTTTGTGCTCCAGAATTTTTCGCGTTTTCGTGACGATTCAGCCTTTTGGAGGCTCAACAGATACCATGCTGGTGTGAGCTCGTCAGATCTCTTCGTTTGCTGACTCGCCTTCGGAGCTGCTGGCCTCTGCTGCTGGCCTCTGCTGTCCTCTGCTGCTGCTGCGGAGCCTCTCGGGCGTTCCCTCCCGCCTCATCAGGACACACGAGCTGCGCTGCTGTGCCCGCCCACCAACATCCCACCATGTCCCGCCAGATTGATATTCGTCGCTTCCTGCGGCCTGGCGGTGCATCAGGCAAGGCAGATGAGGAGCCCCAGCAGCACCACGAGGAGCAGCCGACAGGTGAGATGGCAATCTCGACAAAGACGTGCTGTGAAATACACTGATGTGTGTTCTGTGTTCGTGTGTGTGTCAGATTTCAGCAGCCCGGAGGCCCAGGCCATCGCCAGCGACATCGTCACACGGCGACAGCTGGTGAGTCGTCACACCACATGAAGCAAACACACACACATGGATGTGTCTGTCTGATGTTTGTCGGTGTCAGGCCGCCCCGCCGCCCAATGCGTCGCTGTGTGGCGTCCCGCCCGAGAAGCTGGCCGGCGTGTGTGACCACATGCCAACACTGGAGGCCATCCGCCTGGCCCTCATCAACAAGACCATGGAAGACACTTGCCGTTCGCCGTTCGTCACCCGCCAACTGATCATCACCCCCGCCACCCACAAGCTGTGGCGCAGAGCATCGCGGGCCGTCCTGCGGCAGCTGCGGGGGCGGCTGACCCACCTGCAGACGGCCGCCATCACCACAGACGACGAGGTCTACTCGCGGGGGCCCGATATATATCAGGACCGGCCGGGCGATGATGCCGCCAGTGACGACGGGCGAGAAGAGGAGAATGACGCTGAGGCCGAGGGCACTGAGGAGGTGACGGCGGGGCGTGGCCGCGCCCTCGGCCATCGGGGAGTGTACGCCAAGGTGCTCGAGGGTTCGGCGGCATCGCTCAGGAACTGTCGACTGGAGGACAAGACGACCACCGCGTCCGTCTCGCCCGTCACCGACAGCCCTCGGCCGCCGAGGGTCACCTTCGGCAAGATTGAGGAGGTGGTGCTCTGCGGCGCACTGTGGCAGGGCGCGGCCCATGATCGGCGATGGTCCCTCCCCGCCCTCAAGACACTCGTCAGCAGCAGCTTTTCCATTGCGCCCCGGTACCTCATGAGCTGGATCGAGGCGTCGCCCCACCTCACCCACCTCCACGTAAGACTCTTCGGCCTCCCTTTTTTCACCTATTTCCTGTCGGCCGCCCCCTCCCTGACCAACCTGACCTCGCTGGGCTGCATTCTTCTTACGGAGACGAACCCCTCATCGTGGGAGCCGCTGCTGAGTGTCCTGGAGGCCAAGGGGGCGGTCGGCCGCATCGAGACGCTCGGCGTGTGCCTTGACGTGGTGGGCCTGGAGCCGGATGGCATTCTCACCATACTGCGAGCCCTCGACACGGCCATCCGTCGGCTGGCTGGTCTGGGCATATCGGCTGCCGACACTCAAGTGACAGCCATTCCCGTCACATCATGGGACGACAACATCATGACCAACGTGGTCAACCAGCCACACCATCAGGTGGACAGCGGCGCGTCCCAGTCGTCTTCGAGCGCTGCAGCTGTGTGTGAGCCGTCTGTGGGCGGCGGGAGGAGGGCGCCTCTCTTCCCCAACATGGTGCCTACAAATGACCATGACGACGATGCGAGTGGCGAGATGGCCGATAAGAAGCCCGCCCAGCGGCCCTTCAAGTTGCTCGTCTATGTGCCCTCTTCATTCGACGAGAGGCTGCTGCGTCTCGACCTGACGGACACCGACGTGCTGGCCAAGAAGATCATCCGCGAGATGGCCCGCGTGGCTGAGTCAATGAAGGTCAAGACTGTGTCGGGCGCGGCACCGGCTGCCAGGGGCAGCTTCGGCAACTACGTGTTCGAGTCGCTGACCGAATTGACCATCGAAGACTCCCTTGCTGTCACCAACGGCGTGCTGCCGTCGCTCCCAGCCGCCCCATGCAACCGCTTCCCGCGACTGCAATCCGTCGACTTCCTGCTCCCGTCCATCCATTTGGTTCGAGAGGGCGGAGTGAGGGAGCTGGTCGCGCCAGTCAAGGGGCAGCTCAAAAGGGCAATCCTCTGTCTTGCCGACTTCCCCAGCCGATACGACACGAGCTACGGCACGGGCCAGCCGCCGCCAAGTGAGGCCGCCCCCGGCCTCCTCGCACAGCTGGCGCTCGAGTGTCTTGACGTGACCGGCCATGTGGACCAGGTGGGGTTGAGCTTTCTGCCCACACAGCCTATCGGGGCATTCCGGCCAGAGACCTGCCCCATCAACCACCCCTTCACGACGCCCGAGCTCGCCGCCCGCCTGCCGTCCACGAAGAAACTGGTCGTGAGCATCCCCTACTGCGTCCACGACCGATTCGGCGATGTCCAGACCGACTTCATTATGACCGTCATCAACAACACACCGGACCCCGAGCGTGTGATCTTCAGCGAGGACGTGACTCAGGATTTGGTCAGCTTCAACCAGCTCCAGGTGCGTCACTCCCCGGCCTATTTGGCGTCTGGTGCTGTGGATGGGGCCCTGGCATCGGCCGGATCGCCGTTCGTGGTGGTCAAGACGGACGATACCGAACTTACACTGGAGCAATAGAGAAGGAGTGTCCAGCAGACCGGGTGGATGGGAGAGAGAGAGAGAGGAGGAGACGGGTCCTTTTCAAGTGAGGCACGAACCAGAGAGGGGATGAATGCCGTGAGTGTGGTGTAGAATGTGGTTTTGCTGGATGGGTCTGACCATCCGGGTGGGCGTCGATGTCCTCCTTTGCTGTGTGGACACGTTTATCGCGTTTATCGTAATCCTTTTTCGACCATGCGGTACGCATCCATCAGATTCATCTCATCCACCAACTGCGTGACCGTGTCTGTCCCCCATGGGCATGCAGCGAGTCACCTTAGTCTGCGAGTCGCCCGCCCTCCCCTCTGTCGACAAACACCACCCAGCCCACACACTCACATATACACACACACAGATACCATGAATGTGAGTCCGTCTCTCGCCCCTCCCACTGATCCATCCATCCATCGCCATACGCCCAACACACAAGCAGCATGCAGCATGGCGTATGTCATAGTGCGATAGGTCGGGGCCAGCCGCCGCCACCTCAAGATGGTGACAGCCAGCACTACAAAAGTAAAGGGACACGCTCCACACACATAGTGGGGGACATGCAGCAGACAGACAGACAGACACACAAGTAGGCACAGACACAGACAAGGCACTCACTCAACGGTAACCGTGCCATGTCGAGAAAATTGGGTCTCTTGTGCTGCGAAAATCCCTTGTCTGTCTGTCTGCTTGAGTGTGTTGGTGTTACGTCCCCATTCCCCCACCGGCAGCACAGCATAGCACGGCTCACAAAGAGAGCCGCCACATGCTTTGCTCACACACACTCACGCGACGTATACACACGACACAGGACTGGCAGGCAGTGAGGCCGCCCGCTTGTGCGTGTGAATGAGTGACGCTCGACAAACCACCACCAGCCCAGGCATGCAGCCAGCCATATACCCAAACAGATGGCGAGAGAGAGAGAGAGAGAGAGAGAGAAGGGAAAAGGAGAGAGAGAAGAAGCCGAAGTCGCGCGCAGTGGGTGGGATGAGCCGGGCAGCGACTCCAGCAGCTACTCATACACACAGACGGGCAGCCATCACTTTCTCAGACGAACATGCCAGACAGCCACCAGCCAGCGACATGGAATAGTGGTCGTCTACCACCATGCCATGTTCATGACGATTTCCGCGAGACAAGGCCGTCGAGATGGAGCACTTACGCACACGATTAGAAAAAACACAACCAGTCCTTGCCCCTACCCCATCTGTGTGTTCTATGGCTTGTGAAAGGTAGGTCACTGGATGGTGATTTGCTTCTTGACGGGCTGGACGGGCTCCTTCTGTGGGCATGTCACCTTGAGGACGCCGTTGTCGTACTGGGCGGTGATGGCGGCCTCGTTGGTGTTGGGCAGACGCAGGCAGCGGTGGAACTTGCCCACTTGACGCTCCTAAGACGCACAGACACACAGGCAGACAGAGGGAGGTGTGGTGTGTACCCATCGATGGCCATGTGTGTGATGTACCTGGTAGAGCCAGCCCTCGCCCTCCTTTTTGTCTTCCTTCTTGCTCTCGCCAGAAATGCTCAGCAAACCGTCCTGGAAATCCAACTGAACACATCACAACACAACACAAGACACACACACACACACAAGGGTGAGGTGAGAGGCCATGGATGCCCCCCTCCCTCCCCCTCCCTCCCTCTCTCTGTCGATCCACATGCCCACGTCACGTACCTTGATGTCTTCCTTGGTCATCCCGGGCAGCTCAGCGGCCACAATGACATTGTTGTTGTCGTCGTGCGATATGTCCATCCGCGGCGCCCAGGTCAGCAGCGACGAGATGCTGCTGGGCGGCCGCTCCTCGCTCACGTGCTGCGCTATCTGCCCGGTGGCGCCCTCCTGCTCGGCCGGTGTGGTGTCGGTGAGCATCACGCCCACGCCGGCAGGGCGTCCGCTGAGGCGGCCGACGTCGTTGAAGAGGGAGTCCATCTGGCGCTGCATCTGACGCAGCTCACGGCCCAGCGAACGGAAATCGGCACCTGCAGCCATCAAACAACACGGAGAGAGAGAGAGGGCACGGCACATACAGCACACAGGTGAGCAGGCAGACAGACGACGTGATGTGCCCTGCATGTGTGTGTGTGTGCGTTACCGAATGGGTCGTAGCGGAACATCTTGGCTACTCGCGGCAGTGGTGAGAACTTCGGCTCGACAGGCGCAAAGGGCAAACCGACGAGGAGACGACTTGACAGGCAGATCGAAGACAGACGGATGGATGAGTGGATGAACAGATCAGCGTGTCCTCAGACGGCAGGACGGCCTGGGCAGGACGGCTTGGGGCAAGGCAACTGGCAGGGACGAAACCCTGAACGAACCCTGCTCCTTGAACCCGAACCCTGAGGATGTGCGAGCTTTGCTGACCGAAAGCGTCCACATCTCTTTCCCACGCGCCGAGCCGCCCCAGGGGAGCCGCTCGCACAGCCGGAGCTTGACCGATCCACAAACGACAGAGGAGCAGCTCGAGGCGCCCCCTGCCAGTGGCAATTGGCCAGTGGGGATGGAGGAGCTGAAGAGGCAACTTGAAGACGAAGCAGCACAAAACACGGCTACAGGCAGCACTCAACCAGCCCCTGATCCGGCAGCCAGCTGGGCGTCAGCTGAGCAACTGGAGCATGGTGAGCAGCAGACACCACACGGGCCGTGCACGGGCCCGACCTGATGGTGTGTTCATTGCTTGTTGCTTGTTGCTTGTCCGTGGTTCATTCAGTGGTTGCCGAGCCGTCATCGTCGCTCTTCTTGCAAGGGCAGGCTCTGCTGCTGTCCTACAAGGAGGCCTGTGAGGCCTGTCCAGACCGAGACGCCCTCGCCCTCTACAGCGACGACGTGCAGCTCTTCTTTCGGTCGCTCGGCATCCGATGGACCAGGTGGCGCGGCTCTGCCAGCCCCGTGTTCGTCGTCACCCTCGACCCGCCAGGCGGCCTCAGGCACCCTCCCCGTCTGTATCAGCCCGACGAGCCGACAATGGGCGGCCTGGTGAGATCGCTGCGGCTGGCTGTCACCGGCCGCAATGACCTTGTGAGGAGGCACGGGCTGTGTGGGTCACTGCCGCTAGACTGCCTGCCTGGTGAGCCGTCGGCTGAGGCGGTGGCCTTCTGTCAGACGGCTAGTCGTGAGGCCAAGAGACTGCGGATGCTGCCGAGGGAACGGTCTCCGCTGTTGGCGGCTGTGGCTGTCAGCGACGCGCCGCCCACTGTCCATGGAGCGGCGGAGGACGACAGCAATCAAAAGGACGGTGAGGAGAGAAGTCACTTCTTACACACAGACAGTATACGTTTCTCCCGCACTTGTATATGTCAGATGCCGCCCCAGCCCCCGTGGCTCTTCCACCTGCTGCCCTGTCGAGCCGCCCCAAGCGTATCAGACGCCCAAACCCGCGGCACCGCGACCACGTCGTGGACTCGCCGCCCAGGCGGCAACGGCGGCGCAACAGCGGCCGGAACAGGACTGGCAAGACACAGAAGCCACGTTCGCTGCTCAGGCTGGAAAGTACGCAGACCAATCAATGCTGCAAAGCCGACGCATTTTGGTTGTACTCGACGCCATCCCTCGTGTGTCTGTCTTGTGCAGGTTTCTCGACGGACGACGTGCGTCCGTCGGGGCCCCGCGAGCCACACATCGACCCACCACCTCACCCGGCCCCTCGCCTGTGGAGGGATCGCGATCTGCTTGCTTCTCGGGCGGCCCGCGCCCCCACATCACCGCAAGGCGACGCGGACGACCTCCCCTCCCTCATATCAAAGGCGGTAGCTGCCGGGGAGCATCCCCGGCACTATCGCGCGGCCCGCGGCCTCACATCGTTGGAAGGTCGGTGGCTGCCAGGGATGACAACGGACGCTCTCAGCCTCCTCATAGCGAAGGCGGTGGCTGCCAGGGAGGAGAATGCAACCCTCCTGGCATTCGCGAGGCGGGACGTGCCACTCCCCAGATCATGCACCGCCAAGGAGCTGCACGCCACCGAGCAGGAGGAGGAAGGAGGGCGGCAGGGGGAGAACCATGACGCTCCACCTGCCCGGCCCCTATCGAGGCCGAGCATCGATGCCCTGCTTGGCGAGACCAGCAGCAGGAGCGGGTCAGAAGATGGGCGGCTCACCAACAGCTCCACCAACTTGCTCGTGCATGGCCCCCACCCGTCCCCCTCTCCCTCCCCACCACCGCCACCCCTCCCCCGCAGCGACAGCCAGCCCAGGTCACAGGGTGGTGAGGGTGGTGAGGGGCTACCCCCAGCGCCCCCCACTCCGGCCGCTCCGGCAACGGTCGAGCCGGGCGCTCTCCTCGGGAAGGTTCTCGGGGACAAGGGAGGCGTGTGCAAGACATGGACGCCTCCGACCCCACGAAGTGGCCAGGGCGTCAGCTTTGATAGGAAGCAGCAAGTAAGCTCACTCACTCACTCACTCACTTAGTCCCTTCCTCGCCGTGTACGGCGGAGATGTATTGATGTGTGTCATGCAGGCGTGGGTGGCATTCTGGTGCGACAAAAGTGGCGGCTCGGTCTTCCCACGATCGAAGGCCTTCTCAATGACGGCACTTGGTGGATCGGAGGTAGGGAGGAAAGGAAGAGACAGGGGGAGGGGGAGACAGGGAGAGAGGGAGGGACACACACCACACGACACCGGCACATTTTCTGTGCCTTTCCTTCTTTCGTCAGGTTGCCCGTCGATGCGCTGTCAGCTTCTGGAGCATGAAGGGGCGAGAGCAGGAGATTCGCCGGCAGAGACAGCAGCCGCAAGAGGCCGCCGTGCAGTGCAAGTATGAACCGGACAACCAATCATGGCTTGTGAGTGCGTCTCTTGGAGGGCGTAAGATCGGCTGGCAGAGGATCGGTTGCCAGCGGTTTTCTGTCGCTGAGTGTGGATCGGCCGAGCGGGCGAAAGCGCTGTGTCAGGCAACGGCGGAAGAATGGAAGCAGGAGTTGTTGAAGCAGCCGAGCCAGCCGCCAAGCCTGCCCCCCGACCACCCGCCGGCCACGCCAGACCCCTCCCCTAGCCCACCTGCAGCAGCCCCAGCGCCCCCACAGTCTGACCAAGGCACGTCGCTTCCCGCAGCCCCTGCACAGCCCACACAACACCACCAGCAGCACATAGCAGCAGCAGAACCACCACCACCACCAGCACCACCACCACCACTGGTGCAGCCATCTCTTCAGCCGGTGCAGCCTCCTGCGCCCAGCTCAAGCACTGTCTCGCCGTCGAGTGGTGTGGCGGCGCTTGGCATTGACCGTCTCGCGATCAAGATGGCCAGGGGCTTCCGGGCGGCCTCCCCCGAGCCTCCTTCACTATCTTGGGACTCCCGGCGACGGACCTTCGTGTGTGAGGGGTCCGAGGAGAGGCTCTTCCCGATCGGACAGGAGACGACTGCGACCGTGTATGAGGCCTTCTTTGCAGCGGTGCAGCACCTGCGGCCGCAGCTCACTCAGGCTTCGATCCGCTACCAATCTGCCGACTATTCGGAGCCTGCCCGTTTTCTGGTGTCTGTGGGGGGCCGGGTGGTCAAGACGGTGTGGCTGGAGGGCAAGGGCAAGGGCAAGGAGCGGCGGAGTGTGCGTGCGGTGTATGAGGCGTTCGATGAGGCCAAGAAGCTGGAGAACCGCATCAACAGCACGCCCTTGGACCTGAGGCGGCATCTGATTGGGCGGCGCGTCGTCGACGACATCGTATCAGGCGCCAAGGCTCGGGAGGCCTTGAACACGCTGCAAGGGGGAGATACACCAGGTGCTCCCTACAGCAACCATTCCACCGTAGTGCGTGGATCGATTGCTGGTCTTCTCTTCCTCTCTTGTCTATCCTTTCAGGTGGCCGCAATGCTACAACAGCAGAGGGCGCTCGTCACAAGGCTGGCCCCGCGACAGAGCAGCCTGCAGTGTCGTCAGCGTCTGCAGAGGCAGCTGATGCAGACGGAGGGCGGGGACGGCTGTCTGACCTCGTTCGTCGGGGGCGTGACCAGATCATGATGGCGAGCCGGTCCACCGCCCTCTCGGCACTGGAGAGACTGGGGAGTGGGCAGCAAATGGGCACATCGCCAGGTCAGCCGAGACGCCACACGACAACACAGCCACTCACTCCATCCATCCCTGCACTTGATCTATGGTGACTGCAGGTAACCGCTCCATCAAGTCTCCTATCCGCGATCCACAAGTCAGATTCTCTGCGTCACCATCGGCCGGCCACGTCGCCGACCAGACTGTCAGTGGCAGCAAGCGATCCGCCGAATCCCTGGCAGCCCAACAAAGCCACCAAGAGCCACCCCAGAAGCGCCAAAAGGCAGACGACCTCACCGCCGCTACGCCCGAGATGGCCATCATCACTCGTGCAGCCGTGCCCGTCCACGATAAGACGGCCACGGGTGCGCTGGCTGATGCTGCGCCGGTGTCTGCGTGTGGTGGAGGGGAGTCGGGGCGCTCTGTCGCCCGATCGTGTGGCGTGTCGGGGGAGGGGGATGGGGAGAGGGAGAGGGATGCGGCTGAGCCGTATGACGTTGAGGTGTGCATCTGCCCTGAAGAGTGAGGGGGGATGAACACGGGCACGTCTATCATATGCACGAGTTCACTCAGGGGGACTGAAAGAGTTGGAAGAATGAATGGATCATATGGATCATATGTACTAGATATAGGCAGGGCAGGCTGCAGGGAGGTTTTGACAGATGGATGAATGAGGCAGCGGCCGTGGCATGGTCTGCCTCTGTGTGTGTGTGTGTATCCTGTGACTGCATTGACTGCATCCTCCCTCCCTTCATGCTGGCTGCATGGCGTCTTTTCTTGTTTCTTGCCTGACTGACTTACTGCTGAGGTCAGTGGGAGGGGTGAGGGCTGGGTGTGTGGGTCAAGGGTTTAGCTGTGCTCTCAACGTCTGTCTATGTGCATCCCATGAACGTCTGTCTGTCTGTCTGTCTGTCTACACGTCAGAACGTCTAGGCTAAGCTAAGCATAATTGGTGTGAAGTGTTTGTTTGCGTCTGAGGCGATAAAGGGCCTCCCGCCCGTCCTCTATATATAACATAATTGACATATTCATCATTGAGTAGATTCATTCCGCTTGCCTGATGCCATATGCATGTCTAGTGTGTGTAGTGAGTGTAACTAGTGACTGCTGGCCGGCCAGGCTGGTGTGTGTTTAGCGCTTGCTTGGTGTTTGGTCGAGTGAGTGCTGCTGACTGACTCCATCAATTACGTGCAGTTGACTGGCGACGAGGACAAGTGAGTGCGGCGGGGCTGACAGACAAATGTGTCCATCACATAAATGCCCATTACTATTATTATTATGTGAATGCATGAGTATATCCATTTCCGTTGACAAGGCCCACAACAGGCCGACCGCCATGGCTGTCTGTCTGTCCCCCTAATACGTCTTGGTCTTATCGGTCTTGTCAAGCGTGCTCCCCTCGACAACCTAAACACACACACACAATGGGCAGACTGCACATCCATCCGTCATCCCTCCCTCCCGAACGCACCTTTTGGATGTCAGCGGCCTTGGCGAGCAGCGTGTCGATGTCCTTCCCCTCCATGCTCAGCTGAGCAAGTGTCCCATGAATCAACAAACAGACAGACAGAGGATATCATCATGATGGCACTCATCATGTGTGTGGCCCTCCCTCCCTGTCTGTCTGTCTGCCAGCCAGACCAACCTTCCTGGCTCTCTCCACGGCCGGCCGTTGTCGGACTTCCTCCAGCCATCGTTGCAGATGCGGCAGGTCGGCCACGCTGACCCCTGCCCACTGGTGGTACTCCAGCCACGGGTACAGGGCCATGTCAGCGATGCAGTAGTGGTCGCCAGCTATGTAAGTGCACTTGCCAAGCCGCTCATTCACCACCTCATAGAGCCTTCGGGTCTCCCCTTGGAAGCGTTCAATGGCATAGGGCAGCCTCTCAGGCACGTAGCGCAGGAAGGCGTGGGCCTGGCCCTGGATGGGGCCGACCCCGCTGCACTGGAAGAACAGCCACTGAATCACATCCCACCTGTCGATCGAGTGACACACACACACACACAGACACCATGGGTAAGGCCGGCAGGGACGACAGACACGCGTGCGTCATTTATCGGCTCACTCACCGCTGTGTGGGGTGGCTTGGGTCCCCGATGAACCTCTGATACTTTTCCGCCAGGTAGAGCATGATTGCGCCGCTCTCAAACACCGACACGGGCGGCGTGGCCGTGTAGTCGACGATGGCCGGTATCCGCCCATTGGGATTGATGGCGAGGAACCACTCCTGCAGGCGGGCATCAAAGAGAGAGGATCTCTCAGCCAGCGCAGCACGTGGCGATGAGTGCCACTGATCTGACTGAGTGGTTTGCCTCACTCACCTGTTTGTGTTCTCTCTTGTCCAGGTCCAGCAGCGAGATCTTGTAAGGGATGCTTAGCTCCTCCAACAGTATGGTGAGCTTCCACCCGTTGAATGCGGGAAAAGACGACCGCGCTGCAAACACACAAGCAAACAAACGCACGAGCACCATTGCAGGGAAGGAGTGTGTGGGAAGTGAGGCACTCATCTGACTCATGCCCACCGGTGTAGAGCACCACATCTGCCCTCTCCGTCTGATGTGCAGCCGATTGGGTCGTCATGGCGGCCGCCCGCGCCCTCAACAGTGCCACAGGTGCCCTCCGGAAATGAGATGGCGATGATGATCCAGGGAGAAGATCAAGCGAAGGAAGGTGCTGCCAGGCCGCTATTCGTCGCAGACAGAGTGACAGCAGCATCCAAAAGCTGCAGAAAGGCGACATAGCACGCTTTCAGCAGGGTTTGGGGTTTGGGGTTCTGGCCACTTCCAGACAGATCGGAGAGAGCACAAGGTGGAGAGAAAGAGAGAGGCATCAGAGATGGTTTGCGTGCATTTGTCTGTCTCAGGTGTGCGTGACTCTGCGTGATGGCCCAGCCGTCGTCTGCCTCGTCGCAAGCACCACCTGCTGTGCCACCCGGCTGCAAGGGGCTGGATGACGTCGACATCGTCCCCGATGAGGGCGTCAGTCGCGTCAGCCGGCAGCTGTTGGAGGGCTGCATTCGCCGCACCTTCACCGAGGGAGGGAGCCAAGTCACACGGCTCATCCGTCAAGGAGCCGACCCGAGAGCCATCGGCGGCCTGCGCGCCCGCGGCATCTCAGGAGGGGTCCGGTTCTGGCGATACAGCTGCCTGTCTTTCGCCATCGACAGCCCGACAGACCGCCCATTCCTCTACACGCGCGGCCCTGGGCTGACGGAAGCGCCCGTTGTCTTGCCACAGTGGCCCTCCCGTCGGCTGCAGCGTGACATCCTCAACGCCCCCATCGACGGCGGGGCGGACGTCAATGCGGCCGGAGGGGAAGAGCGGCCTATCAAGCTGGCCATTGCGGCTGGCAATCTGACGGCAATGGAGGCCCTCCTGGCGCGTCAGGTCGACGTGCGGGGATTCACGGTGATGCAGCTCCCCTACATCCGTGGCGATGGCCCTCCCGCCACTCGCGATTACGAGGCGGCCCTCATGTCGGTCTTCCGTCGCCTCATCCAACACGACAACACACTCGCAGCGGAGCGGTACGGTCACACTCTGGTCCATTTGGCAGCCAGGGCCTCCACCTTCTCCCAGTCCTTCATCGACGAGTACCTCACCCTCATCACCAGCCACGGAGCCGACATGACGGCAACAGACCCCGGGGGCTTCACGCCCCTGCACAGCGTAGCATTCGGCTCCCACTGTGTGGCCGAGTGGCTGTGCCGGCAGCTCACAGCCGAAGACGTCAACAGAGGAATGCCGAACCTGCCCAACATGACACCCCTCGCCATGGCTGCCGAGGCGCTCGGTCAGGAGCAGCAAGGAGAGGGACAGGGAAAGGAGGAGCGGCACCAAAGACGGATCCGCGAGCACAAGGCCACCATCGGCGTGCTGCTGCGGAGCGGGGCGGCCCCATCCATCGCCCGCATGCCCACCGCCACTGAGGAGCAGCGCCGTCGCCGCCAGCTGGTGCTGGCCGAGTATGCCACAGTGCTCAATGAGCTGTCCGAGGTCGTCTTGTCGGCCATCAACGGCGCCCTCGCCCCCCAGCGCGACCACTCGATGCTTCTCGCCCGTCTGCTGCCCCTCGCCCCCCACCACGACGGCGCCCACCCCCACCCCTCCCCATCCAACATGGCATTCGGCCCACACGAGGCTGAGGCCATCGGATGGAAGATCGGCGCCTTCCTGTACGAGCCCCCCCCTGCTGTGGCCGCCATCAACCAGTACCTCATTGGCGAGTCGATGCTGAGGCGCCGCGTGCGTGCGGCCGTCGGCCACTTCGTCAAGTCGGCGGCCACCCAGACGAGCAGCAACAGGGAGGTGGTGGGCGGGACGAGATACCAGCAGCAGGGCGACAAGCGCGTCAAGGTGACCGTGCCGCCGCTGCAGTGCTTCGCCGTGAGGGGCAGTGTGGGTGGCCGCAAGACGGGTGTGCGTGAGGTGGTTCATAGGGCCCGGCTGGACGAGCGGCGTATGGTGTGGTTGGTGTGGTCAAGGGCTTCAACGAGCATCTGGGCGATCAAGACTGCCAGTTCGAGTGGGGCCAGCTGGGACGTCTGTCGAGGACCGGCCTGTTCGTGTCGCTGGGCATCGACTGAGTTAGAGAGGGGGAGAGGGGGAGCCTCAGGGAGAGGGGGAAGGGGAGGGGGTAGTAACGGTGATGGCTGCGTGTTTGACTCCTTCTTGCTGCAGTTCAAGAACGGTTCTGTTTGCGAGTTTTGATGTGCTTCATGCGAGCTGGACGGATGTGCTTCATGTGGTCATATGCAATTGCACACGTTTCTGTCAATCATCTCAAATACCGATATACCTACCACCATTAGTGTACAGTACGTCTGTCTGTCTATCGCCTTAGCGCACCGCCGTCCTGTCGCGTAGTGTGTAGGCCACAAACACAGAGGCTGCCCTCTGTCGCATTTATCATGGATGCCCGCATCACGTAAGGACCATTTGCTATCATCGTGCGCGCGCTGCGCTTGCGGCATGGATTCACGTACGTATGGATGTGTGTATGTGTGGGTGTCTGAGTGAGTGATAAAGCAGACAAACAAGCAACGAAATCTTTACACGTGTGCATACATACGAACATACATATGTGTGGGTGTATACATACAGATATACAAAAAGATCAATACGGAATACGGAAGCGATAGTGTACAGACAGAGGGAATGAATGCAAAGCAAGCAAAGGTGAACTCCCAGTCAGCCGTTGTCAATGACATCTGACGACAGACAAAGAGGACAGACAGGCAGCAATCATGACACACACACATGCACGTGGGCTTGTTGCAATGCGTGTGTGAGTGAGTCAGTGTGTGTGTACCTTCGACATTCATCGTGACGACATAGGTGGGGACCACATGCTCTCTGACGCACTCCTCGCCAGACGTCCTCTCATACCCCTGCGTATGCAAGGAAAAGTGATGAGAGACATTGCATGCCGCCCGTGTCTCGTCAGGTTTGTGCGTGCCTGCGGACACGAGAGCGTCCCCTGGCGAAATATAAGCTGAATACACTGGCCGCGCTGGTAATCGTAGCAATTAGCGGACGGGTCTGTTTCCGACTTCTTAAAGTCTACTGCTCTACTCTCTCGAGTGAGTGCGAGCATGATGATTGTAAGCATGCTCACTCGCTTTTCAAGTGCATCCAGACAATGGCGACCCGACTACGTTGCTGTGTTCGTGATCAATTTATGTCAAATACACATCGTGTCTTCCATTTGCTCGGCTCCACGAACACATAAACCGTCTCGCGCCAGTCGCTCATCATATCACGCCACACAGACAATTGGCGACGATAAATAAAGATCACCAGGCAGACCAGACGACAAACGACACGGCAGGACAGTGCACACACGAACCACAGAGATGGATAAAAATACCATCAGACGATCACCGATGAGATCAGATGAGCCCATGTACGCTCAGCGCCAGGTCAGCCTCCGTCACTCGTTTCC